CCTCCTCCAGGCTATCCTGAGCTGCATGCAGCTGTCCCTTGGCTTGGCTGCCTCTCCCACATCGGATCCCCCCAGCACCTGCTTTGGATGGGGCTCACTGACAGGGAGTGGGGGGGGCACTTTGCCAAGATTTTACCAAAGCAGGCATTAAAACTGGGAGAAATGCTCCTATGAGTTATAAGGTCTGGTCACATGTGGCGATCATTTGGCAGAGAAAGACAGGTGTCACTTTGGGGATAATCTTCCTGGAGTGAGAGGAAGTAAACTCTAAGGATGCTCTATTTACACATATAATACAGCTAGTTACTGGGGGATAAGCCATCTCAAATATGCCAGCAAACAAAGCGAACCTCTCCTTGCTATTTAACAAAAGTCAGCTTTTTTTTTTTTTTGACTGTGCTGGTTCTGCATTGCCGGAAGGATTTACTTGCTGGGAGTGGGGCCTACCGTCTGGAAGAGGGACGTGGGCCTTTCACTGTGGTGGCTTCTCTTGTGGAGCATGGGCTCTGGGGCAGGAGGGCTTCAGTAGCAGCAGTGCTTGCGCTTAGTTGTTGTGGCTCCTGGGCTCTAGAGCAAAGGCTCGGTAGTTATGGCACATGGGCTTAGTTGCTCTGCAGCGTGTGGGATATTCCCAGAGCCGGGATCAAACTCGTGTATCCTGCATTGGCAGGCAGATTCTTTACCGCTGAGCTACCAGAGAAGCCAAAGTCAGCTCTTCTCCTTTGCATTTTGAAAATTATAGCTGTAATACGTGGTTGTTGTAGCAAGTTGAATATGAAGTGGTAAAAAGAGAAAACATTTTTTTTCTCTTTCTTCTTAAATCACCCCGTCCCCTAGATAATCAGTATTATCAATCTAGTGTCTATCCATCCCCCACTTACTCAATCTTCAGACAAATCAATGCGCATTTTTAGAGTTAATCTTCCCACCTCTCACGTTTGTTGTTGTTCTTGTTGTTGTCATTTCAACATAAATGGGACTATACAATGTGCATTCTTATTCAAATTGCTTTATGTAACCTAACAATTTATTATGAATATCCTCCTAGGTGGATATATTTAGCTCTAACTTATTCTTTTAAAATAGTTGAACAATATCACCTCAGAAAAAGAGCTATCACACGTTTGCTGGATTTTTAAGACATCATCCATTTTGTGCTGTGCTAAGTTTCTTCAACCATGCCTGACTCTTTGTTACCTTATGGACACTGTAGCCTGGCAGGCTCCTCTGTCCATGGGAGTCTCCAGGCAAGAACACTGGAGTGGGTTGTCATTTCCTTCTCCAGGGGATCTTCCTGACCCAGGTTATCAAACTCGCATCTCTTATGTCTCCTCTTTATGGACACTGTAGCCTGGCAGGCTCCTCTGTCCATGGGAGTCTCCAGGCAAGAACACTGGAGTGGGTTGTCATTTCCTTCTCCAGGGGATCTTCCTGACCCAGGTTATCAAACTCGCATCTCTTATGTCTCCTCTTTACCACTAGCTCCATGCCACATCCATTTTAAACATTAATTTTTTTTTGGAGAAAGGTAGAATGTTAAATAGACCAATTTATATGAGGAAATTTTCTGACTTAAAAAAATATAGGGAAACACTCTGACTTAAAATGGACAAAAGTGTATAGGAAATATATAAAAATATACAGAAACTAGGAAGTTCTTGAAATTGCAGTGTGACAGTAACCACCATATTCCTCTGAGAGCGTGTCTGAAGCAAGTTCTGTGCAGAGAACTGGGCTCTCAACTAGATCCTGGTACCTGGAGCCCCTCAGAGCAGTGGCCTGGCCTCACCTGACCTGTGAGTCTTTTGCACACGCCGTTGTCTTACCACCTTTCTGTTCTGACCTAGGGAGGGACAGAAGGCGCTGCAGGCATTAGCATGCCTATCACACACCCTCCCTTTATTCTCTGGGCTGAGGTCAGGTGGCATAGATCAATCAGCCTCTGCATCCAAAGCCTTTCTAGGTCCAGGAGCCCCTTCCACTCCAAGCGTGCACTGCCATTTTGAACCGCTTTAGAGTCAGCAAGAGTATAACTGAACCAAAGAGCCCCTTGGGGCAACAGCCCACAGCTTCCGGGAGCCCATCAGTTGTGGGGGTTTACTGTGTGTTCCCAGGGCATTCACATATATTAGCTGGGAGCAGTGAGTGAGGTCTGCGAAGACATGCTGCTTACAGGAGACACCACTTCTGATTATCTGCTCTACCAGACCCGCGCTGTGAATGTAACATGCAGCCCTTGATGCTCCCTGCATCCTGTGAGGCTGGCACGCCACAAATGAGGAAGCTGAGTCTCAGAGAAAGTGAATGATTTGCCTAAGACCGTACAACCTGAGAGTACAAGCACCATGAAAGTGTGCTTCCTCATTGAGCCACACAGGCTGGCTCTAACTGCAGGTATGCTCGACTGCCCACAGTTTTCCTGGAAGTGTCCTGGCCTCTGGTACCCAATTACACCGTCAATGGATACATTGTTTTCAGACCTCTGAGTCCATGAGACTTGGACCCTGGCTGGACTCTGCAGGACACCAAATGGCTATGCTGCAACCCAAAGAGACACTCAAATTCTTTATTTGTCCAAGCTCCCCTTAAGTCTGTAAGTACAAAGCCTTTCAAGCCCACTCAAGCATTCTACCAGAATGACAAGGTTTTAGACATAAGAGGATGCTAAAGATCCTCATCCTCAGCCCTCTCATCGTACAGACAAGGAAACAGGGTGGTGGACATGCCCACTGGGGTGGTGGCAGTGGGAGCAGGTGACAGCTAGCTGTGGTGGGGCAGCGACAGTGGTGGCTAGACAGTGGGACAGAGCAGGGTTTCACCACCATAGCCTCTGGGTCCATCCAGTCCTCCACCTGCTTTGTTTTAGTTAATAAAGTTTTACTGGGGCTCAGGCACACCATTTGTTTCCAGACTGTCTGTGGTTGGTACATGCTCTAACATCAGAGTAGTTGCAACAGACACTGCATGACCATAATGTCTTAAATATTTACCATCGGCGCTTTACAAAAACGTTTGCTGGCCCCTGGGAAAGACAGGAGCACACAGCTTGTAAGTTATTGGAAGCTTTCTAGTTCTTAGGATGATTGTTAGGTTCACAGGTGTTTGTTATATTATGACCCACTGATGACTGACTGCTACACACAGGCCATTGATGGTCATGCATCATACAGGAATAATTATTAAATCCTGTGCATCTGAAAGCAGACAGGAAAAACAGAGGGAAGGAAGGGAGAAGGAAAGCAACCCTTTAGTCCTTATTAAGATTTAAATGCCTCTTTATTGCCTATGCTTGACTTTACTGCATTGCTTTTCGGATGTTCAAAGAGTGTTGGAGAGAAGGACTAAAGACGACAGACTGAATGAAGCAGGTTTTCAGGAAGGAGGCAAGATGAGTACCTTAGACTCCATGAGGCTGGAAGGAGCTTGTTCAAAGGAGCAATGGGATCCCAAATAGCAGGCCACTAAGGATAGTCACAATCCAGTTTTTCACTTCATTCCCAAGGGGCCTCTTCCCTCAGTACCACCAGAGTGGCATGAGGGGCCAGGCCTCCTGGTCTTTTGTCAGGAGCCCCATCCTGCCTACTGAGTCAAGGATGAGTTGAATGATAGCAGCATAAGAGCCTAGGAAAGCACTCTTGGGTAATTGTGACCGTTTATTAAGGTACAATATTAATGCATTGTTTCACGAAATCCTGAGAGCAATCTTGTAAAAGAAAAACTACTGTGTTTCTTTTATAGATGACGATGAGGGGTTTTCAGTGGGCAAGTTACTTGCCCAGAGACCTCAAGCTAGTGAATGGTGAAGCTGAATTCAAATCCAGATCCAGTTGATTTCAAACCCTAAACTCAACCACTTTATTACACTGCTTGTGGCCAGATATTCCACTTCATGCTGCCTCAAGAAAAGCACGGCTTTTACCTTCTTTACACGAGTTGCTGGAGGCACGTGGGACATTTTGGCATGCTGAAGGGCAGCTTTGACACTGAAATCCCACCTCAGCAAATGGCATGGCATTTGCACATTCAAAGAAACGTTCCAGTCCCTGGTGGGAAAGTTTCCAGTGGCTTCAATTACAGAACAGTCACAGTTCATTGACGCCTGATGCTCACGAGGGCGGCTTTATTGTTTTATATGTGAAAAATGAGGAAAGGGCCAGAACCTCACCATCAGGGAAATGATGAAAGATTGAGAAGTATTTCCAAAGGCATGCAAACTGAGAGGTCAACTCAGTGGGGGCAGGGGAGGGGGAGCGGTGGGAGGAGAACAAGCAAAGAAGCAGCTGAGAAGTATTGCGGCACCAGGGAGAAGAGGTTGTGATGTCCACGAAAGGAAACCATGGCTATGAATTTCAGGGCATCAGGACCCTGTCAACACAGCTAATCCCTACGGATGCTGGCTGAATAAGCCTTTGGTGACCAAATAGTGCACTGTGGAAAACGTGTCAGCCTCCAGCAGGTCAATTTGTCCTCATGTTACACACTTTGCTGGCTCTGTTGCTAGAACCCCAGATCGAGGATCCACAGCGAGCATCTCCCAACTTGACATGGGTTGACACAGCATGGTTAATAAGTCAACAGAATTCAGAAAACAGGACCGGATTAAGAAGGCAGTTTTATTTTGGTGCCCTGGACTTCAAGCAGATTAAATAATCAAAAAGCCGGAGCCATCGGGGTCATGTTTGAATGCTACAGCTGTTCGCTGAGGTTTGACAAACATTCTTTCTGTGGCTCCTCGTCTCAATGGGAAAGGCAGCAATGATCCTGGGAAGGGCAATGCTTTAAGAAAGAAGGCGGGGAGCACAATCAAAAGATCCTCTTATGGAAAACAATCCCATCCAGATGGAGACAAGGAAAGGGCTGCTTAAATAAGTGGTCTCCTGAAAGCGACCACTGTTCCCTGTGCTGAAGAAAAGCACTGGCAGGATTCAGAAAAAAAGTGAATGAAAACCTGGACTTGGAGTCTGCCATGCCCTCGATGTGTTGACCTGCAGATTAATAAAGGTGGGCTTCGGGTTCAGCGGGTAAGCCGGTGGAGACTCAGTCATGGAAGGTGAGCCATGATTAATCCCCTCACGCCTTAGAAAGTAGGACCCTCCCCCCCAACCCCCCAACTCAGGAAGGTATCTGTGGGAAGTTGTCTTTCTCAAAAGACCAAACAGATGCTAAAAATGTCTCATGTTTGTGCCATGCTGGGTCAGAGGAAGAGAGAGTGGACAAATGTACCTAGTCATGAATGGATATGCAGTTGGCCTGTTATGGGCCATTTCAGAGAAAATATAGTCCTTCAGGTTGGAGTTCATACATCATCTACTTGGCGGGGGCGGGGGAGGTGGGAGTGGCATGATTTTCTGCAGTTAATGAATGCTTGGGTGAGGCACAACTAAAGTGAGGGGTGACAACTCTCCTCTGATCAGAAGCTGCTTTGGCACTGAGATGTATATTATTTGCAAAATTATAGAAAAGAAAACAAGGTTTTTCTCTTTTACATGCTGCAAGAGGGAACCGGACTGTAATGCATCTCTTGAGCGAAACTAAACTGAGCAAAATCTCCTTCAGAAGGCTTTCCAAACATCTCCCCACTTGCCCTAAAGAACTGTTCACAGCATCAGAGAAAGAGAATTGAAAGGACAGAGGGGGAAAGGCTCCATGCACAAATGTGTGCGTTTGACAGCCACATCGTACATTTCCCTAGTCAAGGCCAAAAACAGACAGACAAACTGAAAATCTCCTCTCAAGAACTTTCTTTACAAGTAGATAATCATCTTGAGTTTTAAATATTATTGCCTGGCCCTGTGAATTCCTCTACCAATTTAACAAAATGTCCCTGATGGATGTTTGCCATTTTGAAATTCAAGTCTCAGGAAAAAAGAAGGGAGTGATCGAGCTCCACTGGAGATTGACCAAGCAGTGCCTGAGAGAATGTTAACTCGGCGTCCTCTTCAAACCTGGCAAGGAGGCACATATTGAATCTAGAGCCCCCGTACACATTTCTACAGGGCCAAGGAGCCCTGTGTAAGGATGCCTTCTGCTGCATCATTTGTCCTGAAAGAAACTGCAACAACTCAAATGCTCGTCAGTACAGGAGTGGCTAAATAATAAATCTGGCAAGGCCTCGACATCGAATACTCCACAGAAGCTAGAAGGAATGAATGAGCTCTCTATGCATCCCTGTGGATGGATCAGTTTTGAGTGACTAAACTGCAAAATGAAACATACCAATGATTATTTAGCTTTTTAAAAAACCACTATGCAAACCATTCTATAGTATGTGTATGTGTGTGTTGTGCATGTATGTGTGTTGTGTGTATGTATGTAAAAATATTTACAGGCAGTAAAGCACAGCAGGTAAGAACACTGATAGACTCTGAAAGCAGACTGCCTGGGTTCAAATCATGATTCTCCTACTTCTGTATGACCTTGGACAAGTGATTTAGCTTCTCTGTGCCTCAGTTTCATCACCTTTAATATGTGCATAGTAAAAGACCCCAAATTACAAGATTAGGAGGGCTAAATGAATTAATATATATATAAAGCACTTCCAAGAGTGCCTGGCTCAAAATATGAGCTATAAGGCTATTTGTGGTTTTGTTGTTTTTAAAAGGCCTGGTGGGATGGTATAGTGATGGTAGGGAAGGTGCTGGTGGGGAGTGGTTCCTGCTGGAAAAACATGATGTGGGTGCTAATTAAAGGGAATTTAACTTATCAGCAATGCACTGTTTCTTTGAGTTAGGAAAAAAAAAGAGATGAAGCAAATATGGCAACCTTTGAATAACTGACAGAACTTTGTTACAGGAACATGAGTATTTATTATGTTATTTTAATGATTTTCTTTGTTTTAAAATCTCTTGAATAAAAAAGGAGCAGAGACAATCATCATTCATGGAAGTATTACACTTGAAAGATGGACATCAATTTGTAAGAATGCTTCAGACCTGTCCCATCTAATATGCACCACTAGCACCATATGGCTATTTAAATTTCAACTGATTAAAATTAAATGGAAAGAAAAAGTCAGTTTCTTGACTGCAGTAGTCACATTTCCAGAGCTCTGAAGTCACATGAAGCTGGTGGCTATCATATTAGACAGTAGATACAGATCATTCCCATCACCACAGAGAGCGCTATTGGACAGTACAGTCCGGAGCATGCTTCTGAGAAATGTGAGCATCTGAACTCCCTCTCATGCTCCTAAAGTTCTGCTCCTAGATAATTCTGCTTCATACAAAGGGCACATGCCCCCCAAAATATTCTTTTCACATTTTCACTTGATAACCTATGTCATCTACCTTCTGGTTACCTGTGAACTTAAAGCAGGAACAAAAGCTGATACCACTTAGAAACTGGTTCCTATCTCAATTTCTTTCTGTTTGTTGTAGGTGAAGTGTTGCTGCTTTCAAGTATGATTTTCCTGTTACCGGTGGTGTGCGGCTGCCCAGAGAGATGCCACTGTCACTCACCTTCAAATTCTGTAGACTGCAGCCGGCAGGGTCTGGCTGAAATCCCTTCCGATTTGCCTTCTCAGACCCTAACGCTGCACTTACAAGATAACCAGATCCACCAGCTTCCGACTTCTGCATTTAAATCAGTGCCACAGCTCACAACCTTGAACTTGTACAACAATTCTCTTTCAAATCTGACCCCCGGAGTTTTCCATGGACTTCAGCACTTGAGGGTCTTAAACCTAACTCAGAACTCCCTGCATTCCCTGGAAAGCAGACTATTCCATTCTCTCCCAGAGCTGAGGGAACTCGATTTGTCATCAAACAATATAAGTCACCTTCCTGCATCCCTAGGTGAGCCTTGGGAGAACCTAACCGTTCTTGCAATCCAGCAAAACCGGCTTCGGCAGCTCGATCGAGCCCTCCTAGAATCCATGCCCAGAATAAAGCATTTATTTCTCAAAGACAACCTCTGGAAATGCAACTGTCACTTGCTCAGTCTTAAACTCTGGCTGGAGACATTTGTCTATAAAGGTCAGTAACTGATGCCTATCCCCCCATCTGTGTATGATCAGTTTAAGAGAAACCTCAATGGTTTTCTGCAGTAGAAGGAATGCTGAAAAGTGTTTGAGGGATCTGTGTAAGCTTTTGCGCACTGATGTCATTTCACGGTATGGCAAAAGAGGCAAGTGAGTCATTAAGGATGTTTCAGATCATGTATTTAAAGTCATCTACAGATACGATTCATGGAAACAACTTTCCACTTTTTTCCCCTCTCCACCCCAACTTTCCACTTTTCGATTAATACCACCATTAAGTTATTTATCTGGAAACTGTAGGCCGTTAAGAAAGAACGAAATTCAATCCACCTAAATATTGGGTTGGCCAAATTTTCATAAGAAAAGCTCGAATGAACTTTTTGACCTATCCAATAACTACTCAACTCTGAAGTGACAACAGATTCTGATTTTCAAGTGTTATCCAACTGGGGGCATGGTATTTTTCCTTAGAACTGCCCCTCCTTGTTTCTCTGCTTCTGACCATTTGACAGCTATGAAACTTCACTGAGATTACCCATTCTGCTTTAGCAGACACCACTGTTACTAAAACTGAATACAATACGGCTCCCTCTCCGGAGGGAACAAGTATTTCTTTAATCAGATGTCAAAAACAAAGCAAGAGATCCCAGGATACTAAAGATGAGGGGTCAGCAAACTATGCAGCCTAAGAGCCAGATCTGGCCCACCTATTTTTGTAAATAAAGTTTTGTTGGAACCCATTCACATCCATTTATTATTCACTGTCTGGCTGTTTTGCATTAAAAGGGTGAGGCTGAATAGTTAGGACAGAGACTATGGCAAGGCTTAAAAAATGAACTATCTGGCTCTTTATAGGAAAATTTGCCAACCCCTCCTAACTCAAAGCTAGTCTATTATCAATGGGGAATGGATGCCCAAAGATGTTTAGTGACTTGATGAAGATCACAGAGTAGAAGTAAAGATAAGAGTAGAAGGAGCAGCTTTAGGTCTTGGCCCTACATTCCCTCCTCTACATTACAGTGCTTCTTTCCTCCTGAATTTTAAGTATCATTCATTCATTCATACTAAACTTGAGTGAATTTTACATGTCATGGACATTTCAAGGTGCTGAGAAAAAGTCAGTGAATAAGAAAATCCCTATCATCATGGGCATTACATTCTGACAGTAGAAACATGTTAAATAAGACAAATATATGTATCTATGTTCAGAGAGCAGTTAGTGCTAGAGGCAGCATGAAGGGAGAGAGTGATGGAGCAAGGGTTCCATTTCCGATGTGAAGGACAGGGAAGGCCCCTGCAAGGAGGGAATATGGGGGAGCAGAACTGGAATAACGAGGGGAAAAGAGCCATGAGATAACTCGGGAAAAGGTCAGTAGTTGCAAAGGACCTGAGAGGGAAGTAAGCTCGGCTCCACTGAGGGACAGAAAGAGGGACAGATGAGTGGCTAGCGCAGGGGATGGGAGTGAGAGAGGCCGGGTCATGCTGGAACCTGCAGAGCGGCTGAGACATTTGGATTTTATTTTAGGCAAGATGGAAATATCTTGAAGAATTTTAGTCAGGTGAACAATATGATCTGATTACATTTTAAAAGGTCACTCTGGTGACTCTAGGGAGATCAAACCAAAGGCTGCAGAAGCAGCAGCAGGGGAATGAGGGAGAAAGTGATTTCAGTCTTCCAGGGAAGATGACGGTGGCCCAAACTAGGATGATGAGAAATGATCAACTTTGGGAGATATTTAGAATATTGAACTGATAGAAATTACTAATGGGTTAGAACTGGATATAAGGAAAACAGAGTATATCACAGGAAATGCAATTTTGTTTTGTCCTCCAGGAGTAAGCAGATAAACGGTGATGCCAGTAGCTGACAAGGGTCAGGCTGTGGAATGGGGGAAATGGGCAAGTATGTGTGGAAGGTGGTAAATCAAGAGCTCATTGTGGGGCATGTCAAGTTTGAGATGCCCATTACATAGTCAAGGAGTGCTGTTGAGTTGAGGGATGTATATCTGAGCCCATAATTTGGGAAGATATCAGAGATCCAGACATGGCTTAAGGAATCAAGAGAGTCTGGATAGTTGCAGCAGTTATACAGAAGGAAGTGGAGGAGAACACATGGGTTCAAGTAAACACTATTGATTTAAGAATCTCTCTGAATAATAGAATAGTCACTTGCTTGTCATTAACCAGCTAATTTTCAAGTTGACCTACAATAGATGTCATGTGATTTGACAAAAATCTTTCTTAAAGGAGGCTTCAAATAAAACTGTTTACATCTAGAGGTGAAGTGTCTTTACCTACTGTGTTCTGGATGAGATAGTAAGCATAAGGCAAGCCATCACAGAGAGATGGTTTTCATCAAAGGAGAATATTTCTTGACAAAAATGGTTCTCAGGTCCAGGAAACTAGAAGCAACATAGGGAGGGATATAGCTCCCCCTGCTCTGCCACAAACTCGCTGGTGATCTTTGGGCAAATTAATGTTCCTTACTTGCCCCTAGTTTCACCAGGTGGAAACTGACAGTGTTAAGCCAGGGAGTTCCTAAGACCGATTCTGGTCCTCAGGCTCCACAATGCAATTCAACACTTCCTCATGGCAGAGCTACCCCACCCAGACAACAGCCTTCTGAAAGAAGGCAAAACTGATCTGGGATAATAAGACCTGGGTGTCAAAAAGACTAAATAAAACCAGCAAATAAATGCAAATGTAGGAGACACTCTGACTACTGATGCATGGATTAAAGGCAAAATAAGGTAATTGATATAATAAAGGCAAACTAAGGATATTGATCAAGACCTTACTTCCCTCCGAGGGGGAACAAAATACATGGAGGATGAAGCAGGGGATTTTGCAGCCTGGAAGTGTCATTCAGTGGGTCCACTGGCCAGAACTCAGTCAGGTGGCTTCAATCTGACCACAAAGGGTGGGGAAATTTCATCTTCCTCTGGACCCAACAATCAAAGGAAAAAAAAGTGCTTTGATGAATATTTAATAATGTCTCCTTCAAGAACATGTGCATAGATTTTCTAATTAGCATTCCTCTCCCTCCATTCATAAGTTAACAAATCATCTTTATGCCAATAGTTAACTGTACTAAACATTTATTCTGGGCTAGGACCTGTGCTAAACATTTGACATACTTTATTCAGCTGAGTCCTCAGAGCAATCTTGTGAAGTGAGTTTCATTATTACCCTGGTCTCTCACTTTCCAGATGAGCAAGCAGAGGCACAGAATGGTCAGGTAACTTGCTTAGGGTTGCAAAGCTAAGCAGTGGTCAGACTCGGGATGTGAATCTCGTTTTACCTCAAGACAGGGGTTAAGAGCTGCTAGCAGCCAGATGATATAGATAATGAGAGTGCTTGGAAAGCTGGAACTTTTTGAATTGTCAACTTCTATGAACCCAGAAGAGATGGAGGCCCTCAAGCTGTCATTGGCAGATCTGCCTCCTGGGGAGTGGCTGAAGAGATGGTGGAGGAAGGCTGGGAAGTGAGTCCTGGCTGAGGACGCAGGAGACCATGGAGCTTTTGATGGCCACAACCCTGGCCTTCCAGCCACATCCCAGGCTCTAGTCTGTGTATTCTCTTGGCTCTGGGTCCTGAGGCCATGCCTCTCACCCTAATATTTAAAACAGGAAGCCGGTAACAGGAGAAATGAACTTAACCCTGGAGTGGCTAGGTGAACCGCCCCAGTCTAGGTCTAAGTCAGCTAGTGGAATTGCTGGTTCCCCAGGTGAAGTACTGAAACATTCCCTGAGACGGAGATCTTCAATCACAGCCTCTTGGCACCTTGGGGTCATCCAGAGCAGGCACACCACACCTCTGGCCTGCTGCACCTCAGCTCAAGAAAGGAGAGATTCCTATTATCATTTTGCTTTAGAGTTGAGGTTCTTGCCTCAGGGGATCACTGAAGAAGCCAGATCAGGCCCAGGAGACTCTGGCAATAGGTGATTCAGTTCAAGCATCAAAAGCCAAAAAGGCATGAGTGTTGAATTTCTCCATGGCCACCAACCCCAGTGTGACCTGGGCCACAGTAACCCTTGAACCGCAAAATGGCCCTATCTATTAATAGGGCCACAGTAGGAGTCAGCTTATAAATTCAGATAGAATGGATGTGAGAACATTCCCCAAATTGTGAAGTACTATACGAAGGAAGGTTCTAAACACTGAAGTAGCAACCTCTTGCCTGGGAATTTCTGGTATAGTTTCATAATCCACCTATGATGTGTACAAAGAAATCTCCAGTCTAAGATTAGTGTCACAACTCACGGAGGTAAGGATCTACTGAGGGTCACTGTGTTAATTCCATGGACCTTACAACATTCCAGAGAGGGAGAGGATGTGAGTCTAGTGGGGAACACTGGGATCATAGGAGTGAGCTGGATTTCAATGTTGATCTATCCACTTTTAACTTGAATGACTCTGGACAAGAATTACCCATTTTAGCAGAGTTGTGAGGACCTATCTAACAGTGCTTTGTAAACTATCAAGACAGACACAAGTAGGATGTTTTCGTGAAAATTAGTCAGAGAAGTTTATCTGTCTGAGGTCAAATAGCAAATTGGTGGTCAAATTTGGCCAGGATGGAATCTGTTCATTCATTACTCTTTCTAGAAAAGAATTTCTAGCTACTCAAATCCCCCTTGGAGTTCAAACACCTGAGGAAATCAATCCCCTTATACAGAATGGAAATTGAGTCTTAGAAAGTTTGATACTCAAAATACTAAATGTTTTGAGGTCTGAGGAGGCACGTTAATTGTACTTAATCCCATGAACGTAATACATATTCCTGTCTAACCTTCAGATATACAAAACACTCGCAGGACCGCTGACTTCCCCATTTGGCATCACTGGAGAGTGTTGGTAGAGACACAGGGTCTTTGAAATTAACACATAACATCACAAGAAAAGACATTTGTTTAAATTATTTATTTTTTAGATCTCCAGTGGTGATTTGGCACAATAGATTTCTTGTGTGGCAGGGCTCATTAGGGCTCGCAACAGTGCCCTCAGGCTGGCCTCCAGCGCCCCTTCCTGTCAGCTTTTGCATTGTTTTCCCTTGGCATTTATAAGGTAAAGGTGACTTGGCTTCTAATGAATTCTTGGTCATACATAATTGCCCATTTAGTGTGTGGCATTTTTAGCATGTAGCCAATTTAGAAATCTTAAAATCATAAAATATGGCTGTTAAATTCTTTGACTCCAGGGGGGTGAAAAAAAGGTGTTTTATAAATTCCATCTGCCTAAGTTTTGCAGGCTGAGGGTTTGGGAATTTGGTTGTATCAGACTCTGCTATCATTCTTTGTCTTTGTTTCTTAAAGGGGGAATAACGGACAGCATCATCTGTGTATCACCAGACACCTGGAAGGGAAAGGACCTCCTTGAAATCCCTCACGAGCTGTACCACCCCTGCCCTTTGCCTTCTCTACACCTGCAGTCCTCGCAGGTGCCGCAGCTAGGTGCTGACCACCAGGCTGTCCCCAGGCTCTCCAAGAGCCACAGCACAGGGGAGCGAGACCACCGGGAGTGTGAGATCAAACCCAAGCCGAGGCCGGCCAATCTGCGCCACGCCATGGCCACCATTGTCATCACAGGGGTGGTGTGTGGGGTCGTGTGTCTCATGATGCTGGCGGCCGCCATCTACGGCTGCACCTATGCCGCTATCACAGCCCAGGACCATGCGGGACGCTTGGCTCAAGCCAATGAGCCCACGAAGACAGGGGGAAAAGAGCTGTTCGACAGCTCACTGGCCTGAGAACTTTCATCTCAAATAGGAATAGTTATTTTAAACCAGAGAACAGTTTCTGAGTAGGGCTGACGGGTCACTGTTACTGCCTCATTTTCTTTTTCCAAAAGGAAAAAAAAAGATGTGTCTCTAAAATGTGTGTGTGTGTGTATATATATATATATATATATATCTTTATATCTTTAGACTTCCCTTGTGACTCAACCAGTAAGGAGTCTGCCTGCAATGCAGGAGACCCAGGTTTGATCCCTGGGTTTGGAAGATCCCCTGGAGAGGGAAATGGCAGCCCACTCCAGTATTCTTGCCTGGAAAATCCCCGTGGTCAGAGGATCCCGGCAGGCTACAGTTCATGGGGTCATATATATATATATATGTATGCATATATATATATATATTTATGAAAAGAAATTTATGTTGAGATTAAAAAAAATATTAATACCATAGTTGAAATAGATATGATAACTTGTGCTCTGTGCCTGAGAAATTATTCTATGTGGGAAAGGCTGTCCATGGAGAAAGAGAAGGTACATCTCTTTCAAGGTACTCTTCCCTGCATTAAGTTGCTTTAACAAAGCAGCTGAAACACAAACACGCATGCCAGTCAGCATTCCTGGGAGCTTTACGGTCCACTGGAAAACTGCCCAATTCTGAGTGCTTGGGAAGAAGCTGGTGATCTTACCCAAGGGGCACTGAGTGCTTCTATAATCCAAGTTCATGCTAGACCAGTGATACTTTTAGATGCTAGGTATGTTATACATTTAGCGGGAGCGTCTGTTGGTTGGGAATTTTTGTAGCTTGCCACAAGAGTCAGATTCTATTTAATTTTCTAAATCAGAAAACCATTTGGGGCTCTCCAGGCCACAGAAGAAGAAGAGGGCTCCACGAGTGGATAATATGACTCAGGCGCAGGGTCTGGGGAAGTTTTCTGATGCAACGGGAAATAACATATAAACAAACACAAAGAGAACGGGGTGGCGGAATTCAGGGCACATATCACCAAAAGGCCATATCCACCAGGTGACTGGAACCTTCCATTTATAACTCTCACAGCAGGAATGAATTTAGGGTGGGCTGAGAGCGAGATAATGGCTTATGTGTATCTGTGTCTACGTACAGAGTGCGCAGAGTGCAGAGGCTTGTTCAACCACACCCACACATAAACACAGAGCAATCAGTTTACCCACTAATGAAATGCAGCCGCAGCAGGGTGGAAGCCAGCAGCTGCTGACCACCACCCAGATTGTCTACTCAACACTCTGGGAGAGGAAGTCAGAGGAAGTCTGAAGAGAGTGGGAATTATCAAGAGACTTGAGATATGTGGCAGCAGCCATCCTGAACATTATTTAGGCCAGGGTTTAAAAAAAATCAGGTGTGGCTTGCTTAACTCCACAGACACGGTCCTGAAGAGTTGCATGCAAAGGAAATTTTTGTAAATTGAATCATCATTTTAATGCAGTAGGGGAGCTCACTATTTAAAGGAACCTTTCATGGAATCTTTCTGTAATGGCAATAATTGACTCCAGATTTATGTATTTTGTAAATTTGCATTTTCTCAGGCTAGGATTTCTTAAAGTAGAATCTACCTGTTCTTTCTCTCATGATGCCCCATCTCATATTTAGAGTCACCTGTTAGTATTAAAATCATTACACAGAGGAGTTAAGGACTCAGCAAAAGAAGAGAACAGGGTGAGTTGTCCCTCCAGAGGCCTTGACAGACATCACTAATCAATCCCAGCATTCCTCCCCCTGAGCCCTGATGCACCACAGATGCCTTCTTAAGACAGCACTGTAGGCAACCAGAACTAATCAACTGGAGTTGGTTCAAAGGATAAAGCATATTTGCCATTCAGGGTACTGGCTCTGCATTCACTTCTTCAGGGCATGTAACAGTGTTTTGGATCGTAAATCAGTAGTCCATTCCCTAACCTGGCACAGGAGTAGGAGGTCTATACAGGATGAAATACTGTTTCCCTGTCTGATGCAGCCAAAGCCTTGCCCAGCAGTGTAAAGAGGTCAGGGGAAAGACGGATGGACCTACCCTAGCCTACCCTGCAGGACTCACACATCACAGAGAACATCTATACCGCCTCACAGTGCTTCACAACCACTGTCTCCCACCCCACAAGTTAAAGATGGGCCAACTCTCTGGAACAGCAATTTTGCAAAATGATTCTTCTGGGGGAAAACATTTACATTTGATGCTAATTTTTTCTGAATATTAAAATAAATCTGGATATGTTAAAGAGTAGACTGAAAAATTACCGTGGATTTTAAGATCAAAAAGAGATCTCAGGGAAAGCTGGCTTCTGGGATCAGCTCCATTCCAGGCCCGATGCCCCCCTTCTGCTCTCTTCATGCACTGCTTCAGAGGTAAGACCAAGCATCCCGTCCAACGATGGAGGGATTACTTTCCAGGTAGAAAAAAGTCTTCCTTGCCCTGGACTATGAGTCCTTGGCTAAGAAAGCAATATGAGAAAGAAAATCGAGGAGATCTTTTTATACATTGTCCTCATTTCACCAAGTGTTTCGAGAGTTTGTGCTACGTACCATGCATGGTGAGAGGTGTTCGCATGAACACTCATGTAATCTTGACATCCAACCTGTGAGATACTTGAACAGATATTACATAAGCTGGAAACTACTGAGACCAACATCACGCGCCTCTTTCACTGCTGTGACTTTTTAAAAATTTATTGATTTATTTATTTTCACTGCTGTGATTTAAGACATCTGTTGGAGGTCTGGTGACTGTGCAGGTTGACCCCATCCCCCTGCCCACAGCGATTACATGACAGAGCTTCCAATCCACCGCAGAAAACCCCAAATCTGGCTAGAATCCTCACTCCTTGACACCCACGTCCTATTAGATTTCTAAGCACAGACGATAACTTGGGCAAATAGATTCCTGCTTTATGAAATGTCTTTAAGGAAAATTATTAAAATGATGCCTTCTTATATTCAGCTGTCGATCTTTTGCCTACAGTCACCTCAAAGAGAAGTTGGCGATGAAAATACTTACCCTAAAATGTCAACAAGTCTCTCAGCACAGAAAAATATAAATCAAATTGTTTAGATTAACAAATGCAGAGTTATCATTCGTTAATAGGAGAAATGAAATGTTTTCTCTGTAAAAAACTTGCAGATGAAAGACTCAATTTGCAGCGTATTCTGTGAGAACCGCAAATTATCTTTCATAACCACTACAGCTCATGAGGGGTAATTTGCAAACGCCTCATAGATTATTTTCAGCTGTTTATTGCTGTTGTCATATTTATAGATTCTCCTATAACATGTCCTTCCATCATAGAGCCTTACTGAAGGAATACTGAAAATAAATATCACGTTTATTGTTGATTACTCTGAGAAAATTTTGTAAAATATACTTTCTTCTTTATATTTAGTGGAACAGTATCACTATTTTTGCTTTGCCAGAGGTCACAAACTCACAATAGCAGGACCCCAAAATGTGAGGCATATAATGAGGATGTAAGAGGAATCTCTGCCACAGAGATTGTGGAGAAAGAAGACATAGTGTCAAATCTACACCTGGAAAGCTTTTAAAATTAAGGCAAATATCTCTGACCCTCCAGGAATAATCTTGGGCTTCAGATGATAAAATGCCCACAAACAATGGATGTTTCATTTTTTTTCTTTCATACAAAAATGGAAGACTTAAAAGTGAGTCACAGGATTTCCTCCTGAAGGCTCTGAAATCTCATTATTCAAGTTAACCAAGTTACTCCAGAAATTAGACACTCTTGTCTTAGATCCAAAATATCAAAGGAAGCAGATCAATTTCTAAAATATCTGTAGCACTGATTATCATAATTATACAACTGTTAGAAATCTGTAACCTTCTATTGCAGATCAGGAAATAACTATTTTCACTTGGGTCAAACCCACCAGTGTATCCAATGCTAAATGCTATTAGACAGAAACCTACCAGCAAATGATATTCCAACCCCACATGGTGTCACTGGGTGTGGCTTATACACAACTTCAGGGAACTACCCTGTTTTCCCTTATGATGAAAATTACTTATTTATTTGTGTTCAAATTTTAATCAGGTCTCAAAGAAACCTCCCTCCCACTGGGAAAGGCAGGTTTGCAGTCCCTCACTTTGCTTTCAGATTCTTGACTGGAGTATCCACATCTACTTTTCACTCTAAATGACACTGAGTATTCATTTGGATGGATGGGATGTTACCCGGTTTCAAAGGCTTACCAAGAAGAGAAGAAAAAGAACCAAAGCACTGGGTATTGGGAAGGTCCTTTGAGAGCAGTTAGTTTAGGTGTGGCCAATTTCAGAATAGCTGTGACCAGCTTTCCTACCTACTTCAGACGTTACTAACAGATCTCAGCAAACTTATCTACTGACCCCAGTCAAGGCCTCAGAATCCTTTAAAATCTCTTTTCTAAGTACCTGCTCCTGATCAACTGGAGTTGACTTATGTTTCATATTCTTATTTTACAAACAGGAAATAGAAGAATGGAAAATGAAAGTTTTTCCAAAGTCACACAGAAAATTAATTGCAGATCTGATAAATACAATTACAGGAGCAAGGGTTAGCATGAATAATACAACCCAACCTCTGCCATTTATTCACTCATTCTGGTGAACCACACTATAATAACTATGGCATTATTATATTAATTGTTTGGATAAGAACAATAATAGCACTGCCATCAACTTTTATTAAGCACCAGGTTGTGTGCCAGTTGTTTTTAGTGTCATGTTTTCATTTTTCTCTAAGTCTCAAATTAAGCAAAACATGAGAGCATTTTACTGCCATATGACAGATGAAGATAATTTATTGGGTTTGGGTAATTTGTTCAAGCTCATGTCATTAATGATTAGTGGAGAAGGAATTTGAATGAAGGACGCATGGGTTTCCTTGGGTTTCTTCTCATGCTTCTATTTACTTTTGATTATATTCAGTATTATCCATAATAAATACTTTTTAAAATGACTCCTAACTTTTTGGACTGAATAACCAGATAACTACAATAAATTAAGC